GAATATATATATAGCCAAGGATGTAAAAAAGGAACCTTCTCAATGGAATAGCTAGAAGTATGTGCGGTAGAGCGCAACCGATCTTTTACCTTTTTTTTTAACACTATTTATATAGTTAATACATAACTTGCCAATGATTGAAAGTGAAACTTGCCCTTGTGCAGTTGCCATAAATTTATGGGCTCTAAAATTTTACACCATGAACTCTCTTTTTGAGAGAACTTAATATTTATTCTAGGTCAAATTTTTTAGAAGACAAATAAAATAGTAGCTAAGACACTACCCAAATATTTTCAATTATATTTGATGGGGACTTTTTTATTTCAGGTTTGAAATTTCCCATATGTGTAATCCTCTATTATTAATTACCTCTCTTAGTAATGGATGTTGAGCAAAATGATGATGAACCTGATTAAGATATCATAGTTTCATTATCATGGGTTATGGTGGTTTTTGATCTACTTAGTTAAAGGAGGTAGTTGATGTAACATGACCAAAGACTTTTTGTCCACAACCATGGGTTGCATTGTTTAAGAGATACTTGTTGTTATGGCATGGATATTTGTTTAATGGAATAAATTTAAGTCAGCCTTTACTAATGTAAGGTTGTATGTCATTCAAATGTACCAATGTAGTTCATAACTCTAAGATTAGAAAGTTGTTGGGGAACATACATGTTGCAGTTGTAATTATAATTTAATGATATCATTTTGGAGGCAAATTACTAGGTCATGGGGCTCTAGTTATAACCATTATCTTGTGTAGTGTCGTTGGGCCAAACCACATAGATAGAGAACATGGTATATGTTTTTATTACTATTATATTGATTTGAGTGTGAATATAATAATATGCTCAATATAAAATTTATTTTTTATGAGTTGAAGTCAATAAAAAATTTTGTTTTCCTCGATAAACTATTATGAAGGGTGAACATATTTTTCTTTATGCTTTGAGTGATTGATTGTAACTTAAAAATTTTGATTTGTTTTCTTTAAGAATTTAGGTGATTGATTGTAACTAAATTTGATTTAAAATTTGATTCCTCTATTTAAATTATTTAGTCAACACAACCATCATCTAGGATTTGAGTAATTGCTTGATTTGAACACTATCAAATTTATATCTTTCTTGTAAAGAATCACATACACATGATTGTACATAAAATTTGTCAATTCTATCCTACTTATAGAAAATCGGGTTCAAGAATTACAATAGTTGGCTTTATTTAGATATTTGTTTAAACTTGATTTTAAAAATAAACTATTTGATTGAGATTTTCAATCAACACAACTATTATCAAGGATTTGAACATTTGAAACACTTATGGTTGAAATTAATTTAAAATCTAATTACTTTAATGTGAGCAAAATATAAATCTTGTCAACTCCAATCCTTACTACAAGGAGGATCAAACTAAGTGATTTGAACTTATAATTTTGTATACTTATTATTTGGATATTATTAACAGTGCTAGACTCAACTCTAATCATTAAGAAAAAAGGAATCAAACTAGTTGATTTGGACACATAACTTTGTTCTTTAAATATTATGATTTTCTTTAGTGTGTGCTTAACTTCAATTTTTTTGAAATTTGAGTGCATGTGAGTTATCAAATTTAAAAATAAGCATATATTTTGTAGTAGAGATTTGCACAAGCTTGAAAAAAAAATTATTGAGTATAAGTTTAACTTTAACCTGCACAATATTCTCACACAGTTCAAATGTAAACACTGATCAATTTATTAGAGCACATGTGGACAAAAGTTAATATTTCAGGTAGCCCACGTAGCATTTTGGAATCAAGTATTTCAACATTTTTACATTGGTCTGAGCACATACGAGCATTCAATTTCATATATTCAAACATGCATGCTCTTAAAATATATTTGCACGCTCTTTAGAATAAGTTATTTTAAAATAATTTACTCTTATTCTATGTAGCATTCTCAAGCCAAATAAGTTTATTGCTTAACATGATCATTAGAGCCCAAGCAAATTAAATTGCTAATCGAAACACATTTTGATGTAATATACCCTTGTGGGATGAAATTATATAATATTTTGTGTGCTTATAAGATGCAATTTCATGAAGTGATCCATTTATGAGGAGCAATTACATAGTGTTTCATGCTCTTGCAATGAACAATATTATAGTTGAAGCATTCATAAGATGCAATTACATATTTTAAAATACTCACAAAGAGATATTAGAGTTAAAAAATTTATTGAAGCACAAATGCAAGAATTTAAAAATTATTCAGAATTTGAATATGGTTCCATAAATTGCACATAAATTTTTGTTTTGGATTTTAAAAAGAATTATCTTTTGTTTGCTAGCAGTTTTGTTGTGAATCTTCTGGTGATAAGGTGTCGCAGGTCTTTATTGTATGTTCACAACTTATCGTTGGTTACATTTAGTTTTATTCAAAAGACTGGTTTCACTTTTATAACATGCTCACTTTAAATATGTTTGTATAAACTCAAAATATTTCTAGCTCCTTTAGTGCAAAATATGGACTACTTAACTACATATTAAGGGTTTTCTTCAATACCCTTAATGCCACATACCAACCCAGTGTTTATTTATAAAATTGTACTTATAATTATTTATAAACCATCAAGTCCCTTTGCACTCAATTTGAGCAATTTTTTTTCTCGAATTCATAATTTATAATTGCAATTCATTCAATCATCAAAATCTTATTAATGCTCAAATATTTTAATTTTAATATTTTTTATATTAATTCATTTATAAGTCCAAATAGTCCAAAATTTAAGCCATTTTGTTAGTCCAAATCGTTCAAATAGTCCACTTTTAAGTCATTTGACAATTTCCAAAAGTTTGAATTCAAATTATTTTGTAAGTTCGAAAAGACTAAATTTCAATTATTTTGCGAGTAATTTATCCTAAATTTTGGTAGCCTCCCGACATCTCCTATTTAAGACGAGCAATGGATTGAATGGTTCAAACAAGAAGCCTAAAGTCAACTTTTAAGTCATTTGACAAGTTCCAAAAATTTGAATTCGAATTATTTTGTAAGTTCAAAAAGACTAAATTTCAATTATTTTGGGAGTAATTTATCCTAAATTTTGGTAGCCTCCCAACATCTCCTATTTAAGACGAGCAATGGATTGAATGGTTCAAACAAGAAGCCTAGAGGTGTGCTTGAGGCCACTGGCAGTTGGGAGGTGTATGAAGGCTGGAGTGGAGGAATTGTGTGATAGTTACGAACATATTGTGAGAACTTCAGGCATGAGAAGGAAGACGAAACAGAGAGTAAAGGAGAGCAATTGAAGAACAAATGGGAGGTTATGCAGGACAAAACATCAATAGGAGAAAATTTTGTGTTCATTTTCCGCACATACGGCCGACCAACTCTCAGGCGATAGCTCGACTTACAAGTTGAGGTGGTGGCTGACTATGCCAAGCAGGTGCCCGACAGTTGGTCACCCGCATGTGCAAACGACCAGAAACAATATTTTTTCTATCAATAGACAACTAAATAATGGAAGTGGGATCATGTAAGAAGGGCGCACAGTTATAGGTTTTAAATTTATTTTAATTTTCATTATTTATATATATATATATATATTTTAAATCAACATATATAACTAAATTCTTAAAAAAAAAAAAACTAAAATTTTTAAATAGTTATGAATTCTTTCCTTGATAAGTTGCATTTTGTTTGAAAAGTCAGAATCCTTGAAGTAGAAAAAAAACCTAAGGCTGTTTGGTGTTGAGTAAGTTTTACGAGATCTGTGGAGGCAAAAAGAGTACGAATATTTGATATTATATAATTCATGTAAATTTAATAATTGATAAATATTTATTCTGTGCTATATAATGATAAATTATTTAGTATTAAAAATATGGCGGATAGTTATGCATTGTTTAATAAATTAAAATTAATAAAATAAATATATAACTCATATTTAATCTTACAATGTTATTTCTATTAAATTATAATATACTAATATTAAATATATTTAAAGAAAATATATCATATATGAGTTATAATAAAGTTTTATATCAATTATTTAACAATTACTTTTTAAATGATAAATAAGTTCATTTGTGGACATAAATAAATGAATTTGATCTTTATTATATTTTTTTCATTTAAATTTCAAATTTTTAAGAAAGTGTTCAAATTTGGTCAACTATTAATTAATAGAGTTCAGTTATCTGTCATTCATGGTGAAGACTCGTTAATTTTACAATAGAACTCATCCATATGTTCCAGCGAAAAAATTATTCCATACGGACACCGCATGCATAGATACATGTGGTGTCTGATCTACACTGTAGATCATGCTGCTCTATGATCTACGGTGAGGATGTAATCAATTTTTTTTTGTTTTAAAAAAAAATTAAAGTGAGGCTCACTGAAATACATCCTCACCATAGATTACCGTGATCTACGGTGTAATACGGACACCGCATGCATCTCATGCAATAATTTTTCATTCTAGTGGGCTTGCTCCTAAAACAAGGATTTTTTTTTTTTGCTTATCCAAATTTATTTTCATTTGGTGTAATTATCTTGGTTTAATGTAATCCTCTGCATGCAGGACATGAATCTACAATTCTGGAGCTGGCAGATTCGATTCATGCTGCTCAAATCGCCTTGGAATCTGATGAAATGGAACAGGATTATCCCAAGCCTCGTTTTGAGGTAATTTTAAGGGTTCGTTTTTTATGAGACTACCATGACTAAGGGAGAAAACGGGTTGAGTCAAGTTCGAGTTATTCTCGATTTGTGCTTGGACTCAATTATTAGGTTTGAGCTCGAACTTATGCTTTAATCTACAAGTTGGAGACCACATTATAATAAAAAGAGAATAAGATTAATTTAAGGCAGTGCTAGCACTATAATAAAATATCAAATAAAATTAGCAATTAGAAGAGATAATAAGAAGTTATTTAATATAAAATATAAATATTATTTTTAAAGTATTTTTAATACTTTAAAAGATAAAATCCTTCAGATTTATTATATTTTGAGTGTATTTATTTTATATTAATAATTTTAGTAAATGAGCCTACTCACCAGCTAACAAGTTGAGTTAGCGCTAGTTTGAGCTTGACTCATCTGCTCATCCAGCTCAGTTCAAAAGCCAAGCCTGACTCACAACCGGTCCACCACAGTCGCATTAACCTACTGTTTTTTTCATTATTTTCTTAAAATTTATGAGACAAAGTTCTAGCGAAAAAAATATTGCATACGGACACCGCATGCAGAGATTCATGCGGCGTCTCGTCTGATCTACACTGTAGATCATGTTGATCTATGATCTACGGTGAGGATGTAATCATTTTTTTTTTGTTTAAAAAAAAAATTAAAGTGGGGCTCACTGAAATACATCCTCACCATAGATTACCGTGATCTACGGTATAGTACGGACACCACATGCATCTCATGCAATAATTTTTCATTCTAGTGGGCTTGCTTGCTCCTAAAACAAGGATTTTTTTTTTGCTTATCCTAATTTATATTCATTTGGAGTAATTATCTTGGTTTAATGTAATCCTATGCATGCAGGACATGAATCTACAATTCTGGAGCTGGCAGATTCGATTCATGCTGCTCAAATCGCCTTGGAATCTGATGAAATGGAACAGGATTATCCCAAGCCTCGTTTTGAGGTAATTTTAAGGGTTCGTTTTTTATGAGACTACCATGACTAAGGGAGAAAACGGGTTGAGTCAAGTTCGAGTTATTCTCGATTTGTGCTTGGACTTAATTTATTAAGTTTGAGCTCGAGCTTATACTTTAAACTATAAGTTGGAGACCGCTCACAAACCGGCATGTTTATTATAATAAAGAGAGAATAAGAATAATTTAAGGCAGTGCTAGCACTATAATAAAATATCAACTAAAATTAGCAATTAAAAGAGATAATAAAAAATTATTTAATATAAAATATAAATATTTTTTTTAAGTATTTTTAATACTTTAAAGATAAAACCCCTTAAATTTATTATATTTTGAGTATGTTTATTTTATATTAATAATTTTAGTAAATGAGCCTACTCACCGGCTAACAAGTTGAGTTAGTGCTAGTTTGAGCTTGACTCATCTGCTCATCGAGCTCAGTTCAAGAGCGAAGCCTGACCCACACCGGTACACCACAGTCGCATTAATCTACTGTTTTTTTTCATTATTTTCTTAAAATTTATGAGACAAAAAACCGATTTTTATAACCAGGAGACTAACCTTCGATACATCTTTATTTAATTTTTTCGAAAAAGTACACCATATATAACTACTTTACAAAAAGATACAACAATTCCAAACGGATGCTAACATTATCTTTTCAAGCACCAACTTGATCAAGCCATCTCACATCTTCATCCTCTCAGGCCGGAGAAGGATCCAGCCGCCGTTCAACAACAGAGAAGAAGAAGACAAACGATCCAAAACAAAAGTCAAAAAAAAGCAGCACCTTCAGAACCCGAAAGGATCATGTGAGGAAACCTCCCCCGGACTTGGACGATGCAAAGATCACCATTCCCAAGCCAATGGTAGGCTTCGGCCTCCCAAACCAGACCTGCATCACACAAAGAACACTCCCAGATGAAGCCATCGGCCCCCCATACTTCTACTATGAGAATATCGCTCTCACACCCAAAGGAGTCTGGGAAACCATCTCACGCATTCTCTACAACATCAAGCCAGAGTTTGTCGACTCCAAGTACTTCTGCGCAGCCGCCAGAAAGCGGGCTTACATCCATAACCTCCCAATCGAAGGCCGGCATCCGCTCCTCCCCATTCCCCCCAAAACCATCCAAGAGGCCTTGCCCATGACAAAGCAATGGTGGCCGAAATGGGACCAGAGAACTCAGCTCAATTGCCTGCACACCGCCATCGCCACTATTAAGATAACAGAGAATATCACCAGGGCTTTGCGTGAAAGCGGAGAAAATCCAAAGACAAGCGTGCGAGATTACATTATAAGGGAATGTAGGAAATGGAACCTTGTCTGGATTGGACATCACAGGGTGGCCCCCCTGGAACCAAGTGAATTCGAGATGTTACTTGGTTTCCCAATCAATCATACCAGAGGTGGAGGTACTAGCCGGACTGAGAGGTATAAATCATTGGGGAATTCATTTCAAGTTGATACAGTGGCTTACCATCTCTCTGTTCTGAAGAAAATGTTTCCTTATGGGATTAATGTGCTGTCTCTGTTTTCCGGCATTGGCGGAGCTGAAGTGGCTCTGCACAATCTGAGAATTTTTATGAAGACAGTTGTTTCGGTTGAGAAATCAGAGATCAATAGAAATATATTGAGGAACTTTTGGAGGCAGACGAGACAGAAGGGGAATTTGATTGATCTGGAAGATGTGCGGCAGCTGGACGTAGATATGATTGAGAGTTTGATGAAGCAGTATGGACCGTTTGATCTCGTTATTGGAGGAAGTCCGTGTAATAACTTGACGGGGAGTAACCGTTATACTCGTGATGGTTTGGAGGGAGAGCATTCCTCTCTGTTTTACGACTATTTTCGTGTTCTTGACATTGTTAAGTCATTGATGGCGAAGAAACGGTGATGGAAGCAGTGTATATTGCTTATTTCAGAGGGCTTTCGTTTTGATGTTTGTTAAAAATATAACATTTAATTGAAGAACTAATGAGTTCTTCTGCTTCATCGACTGAGTGGCTTGAGGTTCAATCCGATGGCAAGTAACATCGATTGGTATCCTCGATATTTCGGGGGCTGACCAGACGCAAAAACACATTGTGGCTCTCTTATGGTCATTATCAGCATATCTTTTGACCTTGCATTAAAATTTTCACTTATTAAAAAAGATTATTTGGTTTAGATTGAGCAGCTACTAGTCCATGCTTCCGACTGCCCGAATGTTGTAGGTTCGAGACTGCTCTTAGTTATCTCGAACCGTAATAACCTCTTCGTCGCCCGAAAACTTCACTGTTATGTGATATGAAGTGACTCGTATATACTTTCTCAAAATATAATAACAAAAATAATTTTTTTTCGAAAAAAAAAAGAAAGATTTGAATGGTATAAATTAAAGAAGTAAACTTGATGTGTTAGATAAGCAATTACATATATATTAA